GTGGCCTCACTGCTGGAAATTAAAATGTATCTGTCTTCAACTTCCATAAATAAAATTCATTTAGGGGCCTCTAGCTGTTATCAGTTTGTCCTGAGGGAATTACAGTAAAAAACCACCAATTTTTCACTCTGAAAATATGAGATATGCATGCAAATTCTCAACTACTGAACTCCCACTCTCCTTTGCAAAGAATCATTTTTGTGTTGGATTTTTTTTTTTTTGTTTTACTGGAATAATACAAAAGGGACAAGATAAATGATGTGATCTCCCTTGGCTGAATCTCCAGCAAGGGCAAACCTGCAGAGCTCAGAAAAAAATGTCAGCTTGAATTTAATCTGTAGAATCTGATCTTTGTTTACAGCAAACTGTTGGCTTTGTCTTCAGCAGGGCTGGAAATGTAAGTGGTTCATCATTACAATGCCATCCAGATATGACAGTAATGAAACTATATCAAAACCTATCCCTAAACCCACAAAAAAATTAAATAAAACAACGATTGAAGTGTTCAGTTCAATCCTTCTGCCACATTTGTTGTTTTGACTGTTGTTTTCTACAGGGTGTCCCCCAGGGAGAGACGGAAAGGGGAAGATAAATTGTGGGAAGATAAATTGTGCCAAGAGGGAAGGGCACTAAACCTAAGGAAATCAGGGAGAAAAACTGAAACTTCTAAGGAGGCCTCTTGAGTCTGGCAGGAAAACACAACCAAACCAAACCAAACCCAACCCAACCAAACCAAAATGGAAAAAATGAAGGCAAATCCAGATTGTAAAATGGTGCAATGTATCACACAATGAACAATTTGCAGATGGAACAAAGCCACGTGTGGTGAGTTTTCCATCAGAAATGGCCAATTAGTGAGACAGAACATAACCTGAGTGAGTCAAAACCAATACTGAGGAAGTTGAATTGAAGAATTATTGAAGAACTCAGGGTGGGTGGTTCCACAGAGCCCTCTGAGCCTCATCATCTCCACATCTAAGTGCTTGAAGCCCCAGCTGACAAACACCCTCCAGCAGATGCCTGCTTTTAATCCATTTAAGCCAATGGGATGATTCAGTTACACATAATTACAATTAAAAAGCTCCAGAAGTACTTTATGAGAGAGAGGGAGGAAGTGAGTTTGGTCTCCTCATGGTACCTTGAGCAGAACGTGGTTTCTGTGCATGGCCATCACACCCCTCTAGAAAATTCCCTGCAGCGTTTTGTTTCTTACATTTTCCACATTCTTTCTGTGGAAAATCCCACAAAAATCCACTTTTGGAAGAGGTCAGTCTAAGGATTCATGAACCATGAGCTTTAGTATAAGTCTCTGTTATTCTTCTCTATTTGACTTCTTATAGTATGTGTTGTAAATCTGTTAAGATTGTGGTGGTAATATATTTGCAGTCATAAGGTACTAGATCATAACAATATTATATTTAAAAATATAATATATAAAATACAAATATAAATATATATAAATATTTATGTATTTATATATAAATATATATATAAATAAAAATTATATATATTAATACATAAATATCTAAATATATGTATATATATTTAGACATAAATATATAATATGTAAAATATATTATGCTATTAATATACTATAATATAATATATATTAATATTCAATATATCAATATATTATATATTAATACATTATCTATTATATTATTAATACAATAATAAAAAAAGTGTTCTTTAATAGTAGGGAGAGCTTAAGCTACTCTAATTTTTTTTCTCAAGTCTTTAATTATGTCGTGTGTCAGCGGTACATATTTGGGATTTGTACTTTGCCATATTTTATTGGTATGGCAATTATTTGTGTTGATGTCATGTCAAAATCTCCTTCCTTTCGTGTTTTTTTTCTTTCTAATTTTTGCTTAATTGGTAGAATTTTGGATGTCTCTTGAAGAATCTTTTGTATTATTATTAGAGCTGGCTCTTGGAATACGAGGAAATGGGCTAATTCTCTGTTTTTATTCTGTAGGTTTGTGTCTTGCAAAGATGCTCCTTCTTCAGGCTTTGAGGGTGTATTCATTCCTTCATCCACTGTGCCTAGACACAAATCTAACAGACTGGGACACCTGGGAGGAGGAGAAGGAGTGAGGGACATTTACAAAGCCACCAGTGCTGAGTTCCCTTGGTGTGTATGGGACACGGTGCCTTGTGCAGGTTCTGGGTTTAAAGATCATTTCAACCTTCTCCATTTAATCATAAAAACAAGCCCTGCTTGTCAGCTCACGGTTTCTGCCCAGTGAAAACAGGTTGATGTTTTCACCCAAGCAGCAAGACTTTTCTTTCCCCCAGGAGAGAGTTTATCCATAAAGTAGGACCAAGGACCACACATCACTCTGCAGACATCACCCAGTGCTGGCTCACACCATCACTCAGTGATGCTCGTCACACATATTTTATATTTTGGCTGCACTGGCCCTGAAATGCTTACAGCCACATTCTCAGGCACTGTGGCCCATAGAAATGCTCAATAAATTAATTTTTTGGGGTGTTTGTTTGTGTTGAACTCAGTAGCAATCCAATTCTCTTTGAGTTTATAGTGGTGGAGAGTTAACAACACACCTGAAGTGTCCCAAACTAGGTAAAATGAAATAAAAATGCAGTAAAGCCTACTAAAAAAAGGGGGTTTAATTACATATGCATCTTTCTGTGTTGGAGTTTTTACTTGATTAAAGCATTGACACATTTGTTGGTGGAGAGTTTAATGTATTTTTGTGTGGCTGGAGCACAAAACATAATTTAAAGTCTTCTTACTGCAGCAGGTAATATCAAATTGAGGACTTTGGTGCCTACATCAGAAATGCTGGGAGAGGTTCCTATTCATTTGGATTTTATAGCCCTAAATCTGTTCTGTCTTTACCCTTTCATTCCCTAAAGGAACTGAGTGTGGTGTTTCTCTTCTAATGAAACACTTTTATTACTTTGGGTTTGCCCTGTTCTAAACCAGAGTAGCAGTGAGAGCATTCAGCAAATTGTTTGTTCAAATCTCTCCCCAGACTGAGGGAGCTAAAGGCCACATCCATGACACACACAGCCTTCACTGAATTGTGTATAAACATTACACACACAGCCTTCAGTTAATTGTGTATAAAATCCTGACTATATGAATTAGCACCAGGTCTCCCAATTCAAACTTTATCCTGCAAGTTTAAAGCACAAACTTAGCTCAAGCCAACCTAACCCAACCCAACCAACCCCACAGGAACAAAATGGATTTTATAACAATTTTTCCTAACAGATTAATGTTAGGAGAGGCATTTTGTGTCAGTGTTTTTAGACTGTGACCTAAAAAGTTGTCCAAAATGCTGATTCAAGACTGCAAGGGGTATGCTCAGCCTGATGTGGTGGAGACAGGTTTGTCCCACATAATTTTATAAATTATATTTATCATGCAGCCATTCACCCGAGCTGGCAAGTAACTCAAAAATTTTCTGATGGGGAGAAATATAAAAAAGTTGTAGCCATGGGGCACTCTGAAAGTGCAGGTATTCTAGATTCTGCATGAAAATTCTGTATTTACACCCAGAAATGTTTCTGCATGGATGAGAAGCCAACACTGGAACCAGCAGAATCCAGGGCAAACTCCCACAGGGATGAGAGGCTGGTTCCCACTCCATGGCCTGTCCTGGTATGACTCTTCTGCCAATTAGCATTGACAATTAATCTGTGGCAATTTATTTGAGCTTCTGTGTCTTTCTATCCATTCATGGACCTTCAGAAGAAAATCCCATTCCAAGAATCCAAAGAGGATCACAGAGAGGAGGGAGCACACAGGGAAAGGAATGATGCTGCACACAGTTCTTGGGAAAAACTCAGAGGAGGCTGCTCTGGGTTTCAAGATCATTGTAACAGCAGGGACAGGACTCAGGGTAAGGACACAGGAAAGCCAGAAAACAAGGAAAAAATGGGCAGATGGAAAAGAAAAGAGAATCTTTTTATCTGGCGCTGTATGACAAAAAAAGCAGGTCCAGAGGTATCAGTATCAGCAAGCAGCTCGTCTAATGCTCTGAATTTACTATGGAGGGTTCCTGGTTTTCCTTTTTTTTTTTTTTTTTTTCCCCCTGGATAACTTCCGATCACATCTCTTCATTTTGGTGATTTCCATTTCCTGCCTAAATTTATTAATGACTGGTGCCCCCTGACGTCAGCGTGGCCTTTAGATAAACAGCCCTTCTCCCTCCCTAATGTTTGCTCCAGCTGATAACACTGAGTTTGAAAGGCAAAAAAATAACCCAACTCCTTTATTCCCCTTATTTATCACCCCAGTAGAGAAATCTCACAGTTGCAGACAGAGAGTGTGGGATACTGAATCAGATGAAAAATGGATGATGATGATGGTGTCTGCACAGAGATTTCCTGCCTGAAATCCTGCAAGGATCTGGTCACTGGAGCCCAGAGAATCACCCACATTGCCTTCTCCCAAAGGACTGAACAGCATTCCAGACTCCAGGGAACAGATTAATTAGAGCCCACTGTCTGTGGGTGCACATAACACACACAGCTCATGTGGAAGTACTCATCCCATAGATAACTAAAATTTGTTATGGGAATTTGGATCTGACTCCCATCCTCATGGAAGGAAAAGGTTTTATTGAATCCCTAAACACCTTTGACCAGATATCCAAGAAATTAGCATGTGGCTGGGAGATGGACACAGGACTGACAGGAGCCCCACAGTCCTGTACAACCTCATTGTGGGTTTGACCTGATCACATCCATAAATTTCAAAAATACCTCCAGGACCATCAAGTCCAACTTCAGAAAGCACCAGATATAAAATATAAATACAAACATTTTGGACTCTGATAATCAATTTATTCCTTCTCCATATAAGTCAAATGGCAGCGATCATGGAATTTCCTTTTTTTCCTTTCAAACAAGAGAAGGATTTGAAATCTTCCCAAAGTACCACCTCACATGCATTTTCAAGGTAATTTTTGGTGCATTGCTTAAGAGGGGCAACAAAATGAAGTGAAAATTTCGAGGCTACTTACTGAACTCACAAAGCAGTGCTCAGACTCCCCACTTTCAAACAGGATGACATCCTTGATGAAGACTGCGATGGCTCTCATGATGAAGGACATGAAGAGGTGCATGTGAATGTAATTTCGAGTACAGTGTAGTTTTCTGTTGGGAAGAAACGAAGCATTTCTGAATAGCAAATCTTCTCAAAAGCATTCTTTTTATATTTACACATTTCTTCTACTATGACATAGAGTCCCAATTAAATATTAGAAACCCTGAGACAGGCTCTGGTCTGCTGAACATCACCACAAATTCACTTAAGCCTCTTTAATTCCACAGAATGTGACAATCCATGTATCTGCAGCAGTACTGCCGCTTTTTCAATCCCCAGAAAAACAGGAAAAAATAGAGGATGACAGAAAACAGGTCCATCCCCCTGCTCTCCACTGGAAAAGAAATGTTTTTGACTGTGCAGACTGTGCTCATGATAAAGGGCTTTTTTCTACAGAATGTTTCTGCTGCAATAATTCTTTTCAAAGTGAAATGTCTTTTCAAGCAGGCAAATAAATTCTTAGCATCTGTTCCCAGAATTAACACATATTACAGACTTTCTAGAATAATATGAACTATATTTTCACTTTAAAATTACTGGTTATTTACGATACTGAGAACTACACTAGAGTTTTTCTATCCCTTGCCTGCTAATATTTTGAAGATGAATTCTGATCAAGTGGGAATTTTTTTAAAAGAGAATTTACACCAGCTAAAGTGAAAGGCCTGATTGTCTGGAAATGGGTGCTTTGCACAGACACCAGAACCACACCAGACCTCACTCAGCAGCACAATGAAATTATCACCTCTTAATGAGCCAGTGGGCCCAGGCAGAGGTTGTGCCCATCATAATCTCTGATGATGGCAAAATAATGGGGCTGAGCTGAGTCCTCTGTGCCTGCAGGCCAAGGCAAGTCAAGCTAAGCTATTTCTGACCAAGGGAAAACAGGATCCTCAATGGTTTCACCAGCCTGGCTGGCACTTTGTACCTTGTGGAGGTTGTTGGCATGTGTCTGATTGCCTCCTCCATTGTAAGAGGAGTGGAGAGAGCACTTGGGAAGAGAAGTGCTGAGTTCCTGAAGGGTGAGACCAGCCTTGGTGTGAGTCACCCTTGAAAATGTGCTCTGTCTCACATGAGGGGATGGAACATCATCCACAGAGCTCTTCCATCCCAGCTTTTTGCTCATCTCCCTTTGCATAAATTAATTTATAATAGGAGATGAAATATATGCAGACATCTTCATTGGAGGCACCCAAATTTAGATAACTGAATCTATTGCAAAATTTAGAAAACAAGAATTAATCCATTTGCTGCAGTCGGGGATTCCAATGCCCATCCATCCATCCATGAAGCCCTGGGTGTCCTGCAGGCCCTGCATCTTCTGTGCCACACTTGTGCATGTCTCAGGGACACCAGCAAGTTTAAATGGCCCTGGGTGTCTCTGTCTTGCCATAGAGTGACAGCAGGAAGTGTTTTTGGAAAAGACTTTGGGAGGAAACAGGGTGCCCAGAGAAACTGTGGATGTTCCATCCCTGGAAGTGTCCAAGGCCAGGTTGGATGGAGCTTGGAGAGACCTGGGACAGTGGAAGGTGTCCCTGCTCATGGCAGGGGATGGAGTGAGATGATCATTAAGGTCCCTTCCAACCCAAACCATTCTGGGATTTTGTGACCCTGGATTTTCTGGATGCAATTTTGGATACCATTGTGAATTCCTACTTTAGGTAGAAATTCCCTGGTATCCATATACAGGACACTATGGACTGTAACCTTTTAAGAGAGATCCATCATAGAGCAACCTGCCTTTGGTGAGATGAATCCCCTTAAATAATTGGATTTTGTTTACAACTCCCACACAAACGTCACAAATCCCACACCAAAACACAGCCACACTGATGATGGAGGAACCTTCCTCCCCTATCCAAGACAGACTGACAGAAATCTTGGGCATCTTCCTGTGACACTCAAAACCTGCACAGTTGTCACCCTGTTCTTTCAAGTTCTTCTAAGCCTTCTGATGTTTACATTCTTGTTATGAAGATTCTCACATTCTTTTCTGTAAATAATTATTGTTTTACATTCTTTTCTGGAGGAGGAGAAATTTGATGAACTGTTGGTTTGTCCAGTGTCATTGGAGAGGTGGCACTTTCACCCTCCAATCCACTACCACTTTTGAAAGTCTATAAATGTTGGAGTCAAAAATTAAACTTCCCTTCTTTTTACCTTGGCGGTTCCAGTGTGTGTGTTGTTTTATTTCGTGTCCTATAGTGACACAGCCTTATTTTGTGTCCTATGGCCACACAGCCTGTAAATCACCAGCCTTTGAGCCCTTCCCCTGATTTTTTTTCTGCTAGAGGCCTTACCTGAAGAGACACAGGATGATCATGGCAGCTGTGAGGGCAATGAGGGACAGGGTGTGCCCGATGGTGTAGCCGGTCTTGACCGTTCCATAGAACGCTGTTTGCTGGTGAAAGAAAGAAAACAGAGCTTTCAGAGAGGTCCAAAAATATCCTAAACACAGCATTACTGACTGCTGGGACAAGGAAATCATCCTTCTCCTTTCTCTTGGAACACCTCTGACTCCTTCACCCTTTAAAATCCCATCCAGTAATGAATGTGACTCAAACATCACCAGTGTGAGTGTGGAGAACATATCAGATTGCAGCAGGGCTTGGACCACGCCAAACCCAGATTAAAATTACACAAAGCAAAGGTTCCTGCTGGAAGGAGGCTGATTTGACACCTGCAGAGACAGCTCCAGCCTAAAACATCGTGGAACAGGAGTGATCAATGTTCAGCTAAACAGTGCACGACACTGGGTCTGATGTGGTGAGAGCAGTGAAATTAATTTTATTAAGCAGGTCTGAGGACAGAACTGTCTGGGAAATTGGTTTGCGTTTTTGCTTTTGAGGGACTTACACTGTTGTTTAGGCAAGTAAAACGTTCTCACTGTTAACTCAGAAATATGTGTTAAGTGGGAAATTGGTTCATGGTTTTTCTCTTTGACAGCACAGAGAGGGAATCTCTGAGCATGGCACAGCAAAGGGCTTGGATCCCACAGGGAATTCCAGTCTAAATAAAACGGGCAAATAAGCTCTCCAAAGCTCTCTAGCAACACTCTAAATCAATAGAATTTGATTTTCAGCTTGAAAAAAAGAAGAAAAATTCAAGAGGTAAAATTATTTAGACATTTATAAACTAAAAATAAGAAATCCAAGTTTTTATGAGAATCTGACTCTATTTATGGAAAATTTTATATTTTCCAGCTTTTGACTGACCCTCCTCTGCTCTTCTTGTCACCATCTTCTATAAACAACCCAAACAACCAAAACT